CCCAAATGATGCCCCTGGCAGCGTTTTGCGACCATGAGGCTCTCAAGAGATACATGTTGGGGGCGCCAAACGGCAATTCTAGCTGAGACGCCCCACCAAAATCGGCGCGAACGGGCTCGTGAGATCAGCCAGGGTGGCTCCCCCTTGGGGCTCCCAAATGATGCCCCTGGCAGCGTTTTGTGACCATGAGGCTCTCAAGAGATACATGTTGGGGGCGCCAAACGGCAATTCTAGCTGAGACGTCCCACCAAAATCGGCGCGAACGGGCTCGTGAGATCAGCCAGGGTGGCTCCCCCTTGGGGCTCCCAAATGATGCCCCTGGCAGCGTTTTGCGACCATGAGGCTCTCAAGAGATACATGCTGGGGGCGCCAAACGGCAATTCTAGCTGAGACGTCCCACCAAAATCGGCGCGAACGGGCTCGTGAGATCAGCCAGGGTGGCTCCCCCTTGGGGCTCCCAAATGATGCCCCTGGCAGCGTTTTGTGACCATGAGGCTCTCAAGAGATACATGTTGGGGGCGCCAAACGGCAATTCTAGCTGAGACGTCCCACCAAAATCGGCGCGAACGGGCTCGTGAGATCAGCCAGGGTGGCTCCCCCTTGGGGCTCCCAAATGATGCCCCTGGCAGCGTTTTGTGATCATGAGAGAGTGCGAGTGTGAGCTTAACTTATCTTATCTTATCTTGAAATCTCTTCTTATCATATCTTGTGCTATCTTATCTTATCTTGTAGTATCTTATCTTGTCTTGTCTTATCTGGTGATTATCATTGGGAGGAGGGAGGCGCGAGCGGGAGGAAGAAGGAGGAGGAGGAGGAGTGGGAGGCGTCAGAGTAATAACAAGAACCCCAATCCTTAGGATATGGGGAACAATACGCACGGGGGGGGGGGGGGGGTCGGCTACTCCCATTCCGCCATCAGGGAAGAGGGAGAGTAGTATTCATATTGAGTAATTGTAGAGGGTAGGGAGGGTTATGAGAGATGCTCTGTTGTCGTTCGTGTGTTTCAAGCAAGTTCTGGTCGCTTTAGAAAATTATTCAGCGGGCGTTCCCCTGGGAATCCTCAGGTTCCAGGATGTGAGGGAGGGAAAAGGAACAGGTGGGAGAGGAAGGACGGATGAGGATGAGGAGAATGGGAGGAATGAGCAGAAGGCATCACAGGGGACTAGGAACACGAGCAGAAGCAGGAGGGGCCTCGGAGCGGTGGAAGGGGAATCGGAGGAAGACAAAAACAGCATAAGCATAAACTGTCGCAGCTGCGAGCGGGTTTCTGCGAGACGCGTGTATGCAGCCGTTTTGCCTTCATTTATGCATTCGTTTGGTACGACTATGTCTCTCCTTCGAAGAAAGATCAAAGCGCATGCTCGCCGGCGCGCTCGCACTGCGCAGAGGCGAGCGCAACAGATCGCGTGCAGGCAGAACGAAGTGAGGGCGCGAGAAGAGGCTGACCAAGTGGTGAACACCCCAGACCCCCTCGAATCATTAAAAGACAGGACGGACAGCGTTTCGCTACTTAGTTTCGGCCTCCGGGGGCCCTCACCGGGTCTCGGGTCGTCAAAAAACGACTCAGGATGAAAGCCTGGTCCTGGGGGATGGGTCGAGATCTCTGGGGGTCGAGGGTCTGAAAATCATGACGTCGGGGGTCTAGAACGGGAGGACGAGTCTCGAGACCTCACTAATTCGGTTCGAGTAGATGAGGTCTGAGGATTGCGCCGCATCGTCGATGCATCGCCAGTGCATCGCCGATGCATCGGCGACTTCGGAGATGCATCGGTGACGTCAGCGTGGAGAAAATCGGGCCCCACATCAAGCCGCAGCAACGATGCATCGTCGATGCGGCGCGACAATCCGACCCCATCTACTCAGACCTCTCCTGGGAGGCCTGGAGGATCAGGACAGGACGTGCGAGACAGGTCAGAGAGAGAAAACGGGCAGAACAGGCAAGACGAGTCTTAACATAGGCAGAGCGGTAATTGAGGGAAACAGGAGAGGGAAGCAGCGGCATCAGGGCAGGAAGAAAGCACGGCCGACGGAGGCGAGAAGGGCAAGGGGAGGGGTGCAAGATGGGCGCAACGCCTGGTGAGCAAGGCCGAACGGGGCCCTGAGAGGCGAGACACAGGCTGCATGGGGAGGCGGGAGAGGCCAGAGGGGCGAGGGGGGTGGGGGCGGCAAGACGGGTGGGGACACACGGAGAGGGGCAGGAGAGGCTGAGGCAACTCTTCCCGGCGTCGAAGCACTCGGCCTCGGCTCCCCGAGGGGGCCGCTCCTCATCGCCCGTGGGCTTTCGATACCCCTGAGGGCACCCGAGCGCTGCAGGAGCTCAAAAAACGCGAACTCGAGCCGTAGGCCCCTGGCATCTGGGCCAGAAGAGGAGCAGACCGGCGCGGCCAACGAAGACGCAGCTGCACCGACTGGGCCACCATGCTTCTGCGACGATGTGCCTGCGTTGGTGTCTGCTGCTCTTCCTGTGGTATGCCTCAGGAGGCCGTCTCCTCGACCGCGCCATGGCATCGACATCGGCTCGCGTCCGCACCGCCTCCGCAACGCTCCTTCGGGACGCGTGTGCCGAAACGCCCATGCGCACCTCCAGGCCAAATCTCGCCACCACTTCTACCGCTTGCTGTCCGGGCACACGCCCACGGATTACAGTCAAAACTGATAATAAGGATGCGCGATAAGGATGCAAGCCCCTTGGACGCCCATGTCGAGGCTCTTCGAGCGGGACTGGCCATCGAGAGAAACTAAGGATGGACGGAAGAGGCAAGGATGCATAGGCACCCTTAGGACGGTGGCCTGTCCTCATCATCGGTTTCGACTGTGTTCTTTGATTGGCATTGGACTGAGGAAAGTGGGCCCCGGACCCTGGGGCCTTCCCGCAGGGGCCCAAGACCAAGTCTTCATCCCGACGCGTTGCCTGACAATCCCGGCGCCCGTGGAGGGCCCCGGGAAGCCAAAAACGGAGAAAAAACTCGGGGCCGGTTTCCCTCAGGACCCGCTTCCCTCATTCCGAACCCTGTGCCACCCTTAGACCACGATGCTTGCAGTCGGCGCGAACCACGGCGGCTTCGGCCTCACCGCCGGGCAGCCACCCTGGTCCTCCGGCAGGAAGGGGCGCTCCCACGCCGCGGCCAGCTGCGCGAGAGACATCCCGCCAAACCTGCCCCAGGGCTTGCCGCTGTCTGGGCCGGCCGCCGCCTGGTAGAAGCAGTCGACCCAGCAAGGGCTCGACGTGTTCGCCTTCTGACTGCCGCACGCGTCGAGGCACGCCGGCGGCTGCGTCGCCTGCACAATGTCGCCGAAGACTTGAGAGTGGCACGTGCGTGCGACAATCTTGTCGACGGAAACGACGCGCCAAGTGCAGCTGCTGCCGGCGTGGCCAGGCAGGTCGCAGTAGCCGCTGTCCAGCGACGAATACCAATTCGCTGGCACCTTCGACTCGATCAGCTTGTCGACAATCGCCGACATGTAGCACGTCGACTTATTATGAGATGGCAGGCAGTAGCTACTATGGGGAAACTGGCCAAAACGATCGACTATGTTCTCACGGCCAACCGTCTTATTGCACGGCACGTCGTGTCCAGGATATGCACCTGTGGAACAGTAGCAGAAGTACGTCCCAGAAGGGCAGCGGTGTCCACGCTCGTCGGTACCGTTGACGCAGACGTTGCACTTTGCGTAGCCAGAGAAACGGCTGTCGACCTCGAGCCTCAACTTGGTGACGCTGAGATCCCCGCTGGCCTCCGGATTTTCGCAGCGGTGGCCGCCAGACGCCGTGCCGTCTGGGCAGGCCAGCGGGTAGAGGATGACCTGGATGAGGTCGAAGAATAGGTCTCCCGGGGCATCGCCAGTGTCCATGTTGACGAAGCGAGTCGGGGATGCATCCATCACCACCGCATGTGGGATCGACCTGCGGGGACCTTGGCGGGCGGTGGAGGATCCGGACGTATTGAGCATCCAGATGCACCACCTGCCGAGGTCCCCTAAGGTCGCTCCCCCAGAGGGTGGTTCTGGATAAATCCCCGCCTCGCGGACGGGAATGGCGCCGGCCGCGGATGGGTTCACATGGTAGACTGTGATGTTTTGCGCGTGCGCGGGGTCGATGCGCGGCGCCGCCAAGATGGCTCAGATGTTCGTTCTGGGGACCTTCCTGGCGCCGCTCGCTCCACTCACGCGTCGATGCTGCGTCGATCGTCCGTCGACTCGAGTCGAACTTGAGTCGAATTTGAGCCGAGCTAGGGTCGAGCTAGAGTCGAACTAGAATCGAACTGGAGTCGAACCTATACTTTATGTGGCCCCCAGGAAGGTCCCCAAAACGAACATCCAAGATGGTGGTCGGCACAAAGGCCGCCACGAGCATCGAGAGGCCACATGCGCCGCGGCCAAGCACTTCGGCGTCGGACGGAATGCGCATCGGCGATGTCCAGGCGCTTCCGGATGCCCGCGGGGCACCTCAGGCGAAGCAGCCTGTGCCAAGATGGCTATACGGGAAGCCTGCAGCGTGAGAGGCAGGGGGTGGGGCGCAAGGGGGGCGGCCGTCTAAAAAGACTGCGGTGTTTCTCAGAAGTCACGGGCCTTCCCAGAAGGCCCCGGGGCTTCTGAGAAGGCGACTTGGAAGTCGGGTGGGCTTCTCTTTGGGTGACCCACAAGGGGTCCAGCTGACAGGTGGTGGTGCAATAGATTTGGGGCAATTGAATTGCAAGTGTATCGCGCCGGAGAATTGTATTGCATTGTATTGCAAGTTATGTATTGCACGCGAAAATCCAGCAATAGATTTGCCCCCTGGTATGTTTTGAACGCCCCAAATGTATTGCAACCCCACAAATCTACTGCACCAGATCTATTGCACCACCCCCTTGTCGCTGGACCCCCTTTTGGGTCAACCCGATTCTCAGAAGCCCCGTCGCCTTTTTAGAAGAAGAAGAAGACGAACAACAAACGCCATAAACATAAAACTTTTGGCTCTCCGCGCGGATTTCTTAGATCTGCGCTGGACCCCCGAGCGCGCCAGGGGCGGCGCCGGAGGCGCCGCCAGGGGGGCCCAGCGCGGATCCAAGGAATCCGCCCAGAGCGCCAAAAGTTTCTGTTTGTGCCGTTTTATCTTCCTCGATGTTTACGACCGCCGCCGTGAAGGGCGCGTGTGTTCTGTGCTGGTGAACGAGGCAGGACCAGCCGCAGATGCAAACCAACCAGGGGGGGCACCACGGCTCTACCCCTCGGCCCTGCCCGGGCCTCGGGCAGAGTGCCTGGCTCTCCGAGCCGAGTCCAGCCATGGCGAGGCGGAGGACGCGGACGTGGCCAGGAACGGGAGGGCAGCGGAGATGGGCGAGAGGCCGTCGGCCGGTCCTGCGTGTTCTTGATGGTGACCTGGTAGCGCCTGGTTGGGCAGGCTTGGGCCCCGTGCCTTCACTTCCCCCCCCCCTCAAAATCAGTTCCTCCTCCTCCTCCTCCCACTTCTCCTTTTCAATATTCGGATTAATTTGCCTTTCCTCGTCCTTTTCGTTCTCGCCCGCCCCCATCTCCCCTCTTTTCCTCATCATCCCTTCATATGCACCTGTCTCGCCTATCGTCTGTTCGCATCGCGGTCGCCTTGCCCTCTCCGCATCCGTCGCCCGATTTCTCGGTCACTCTCGCTCCCCTCCAAGAAGGAGGCGGACATCCTGCGTGGCGCAGGATGTGCGTGGGATGCTACGTGCTGCAGGCTACGCAGTGCAACGCACGTGGTGCAATCTACGTGGTGCAAACAATTGTAAGAGCTTGGAGTTGTCCGCTCCACTGCTCGAACCAGCACCCCACCCGAGGAGGCCGCGGCCAGCGTCCGTCGAGGCAACCCCACCTTGCTGAAAACGGCGGGCGGGACTGTCGCGGGGCAGCCGCGGGACGGCGGCGCGGCCATAACTCCGAAGCGAAGGAAGGGAAGGACAACCGCGGGACAGCGGCGAAGGGCGGCAGCGCAGCGGCAACGCTGCTGTAACAGAGCGACGGGGTCACATGAGGACGATACCGGGTAGCAACGGGGCAGCGACTCTTGACGCAAGGGCGCGGACGTGGAACTGGGCGACGGTGGGGGAGCAGGGGCGCGGAGGGGGCCGCAGCGGGACTGTGCCCGGGCGGCAAGCTACGGACAAGCGGGCACAGGCAGGCGCATGCAAAGCTGGTGCGGTACGGAGATGCGCAAAAGGATGTCGCCCAAAATCGATGAGCAAACATTGGATTGGCGGGGTACGCAACGTTGTGTACGTATACGCGCGAGAAAACACGCACAAGTATTTACGAATATCCAGGGGCAAACTGGCGGGGTTTCGTGGGCAGGATGGCCAGCGCTCTTGCAGCCGTGAACGAATGCGCGCACGAGCGCGAACGTAACCGCCCGGAAGCATGAACATGCAGTCGCAAATGACCAAACAATGGTCAGTGTGCGCAAACTCGCGCAAAAATACCACATCATGATGATTGTTTGTGTCGGGCCCCAGTTACGAACGATACGACACGGCAAAACAAAATACCCTTTCAAACAACATGCATCATTCAAAGAAGTTTACCCATCGGGAGCACCCAGAGGCCAGTGGCCACCTTGAGCTTTTCCGAAGCCACCCTGACGCTTTAAACTGCCAAAATAAAAAATGGCCCAATTGGGGCTGCGATGCGCCGTCTTGAAGGCCACGTTGGGGCATCAGGCGCACTTCTGGAACCATCTCGGTCAAAGCACACGTCCTGGCACCTTAGCTAACGAAAATTCGGCCCAAGCCCCTGGGGAGGGGGCCAGCAACGCTGTGAGCCTTTGATTACCTCAAGGGGAAGAAGGGGGCATGAAAAATCAGCCCTCACCCACCTGCGCCCCAGAAGGCTGGTGGGATTGCTTTCGTCTCATGCGATGGACGGGTGAATGCTCGACTGTTCGCGAAACCTCACCAAAGCAGAAGGAGGAGGGAGGCGGGAGGGACAAGAGACGAACGAAGGCGGAAGAAAAGGAATTCGCCAGACTTTGTCCGTCGCCCATGACTGGTGCCGACGAAGGGACGAGGAGGATAAAAGAGACGCGGGGCCTGAGGGGCGACGGGGCGACGAGGCAGAAGGAGGGCAAAGATAACGCGAACACATGGAGACAGAAAGGGTGAAGGGGATGAAAAACAAGAGGGCGGAGGAGCAAGGGAAAGGGGAAAAAGGGTCGAGGAGACGAGGAGACGAGACAAAGAGGGTCGAGGAGATGGAGGCGAGATGCGGGGCCTTACTTGCCCCGGTATCGCGCAGAAGAAACCCAAAGGAAGCCAAAACATCATCCCAATGTGTTTTCTGGCCCCCCGAGCGGCGCACCGGCAACCCAAAAAAATCCCCCAAAAGGCGACGTGTTTGGCTCCGTCGGGCGCGGCCATCGACGAACGTGCAATTTTGTATGTTCGACGTTCTTCAGAGCCGCCCCGCCTGAGCCCCGAAGACCCATGAGGGGGCGCATTCTCATTGACCGCTCGAACAATGGACGCGATTCGCGGGACCTTTTCTCGGACGGGGGGATCGATTGCCGTGGGAAGGAACCAGGGCGCAGGGCGAGCGGGGGAGGGAGGAAGGAAGTTCATAATCCAGGCCCTCATGTTTGAAAGCCTTTAACAAAACAAAAGCAGATAAGGGCACGCCCTGCTTGCATCTGGAGGGCGGTTTCGCAGGACGTCTGCGCGCGCAAAGAACACAAAGAAACCAAACCGACGAACAACAAGAAAGACTCGTAAACCTACAAAAGACCCCCCCAGTGCCCACTGAATCGGGCAGGGCAAGCGCGGTTGGGCGAGCGTATATCGCAAAAGACTACAGAAACATGCTAGGTGCGGAACCTCGCGCGAAGCATGCTCAAGCGATCGCGCTCGCAGCGATCCACAACGGGGCCGGATTGAAGCTCGCGCTGGCTGCGCCAGAGCAGAGTGGCGCGCGCGATGCCCTGGCGCGGCGAAGGCAAAGTTACTACCATGCAGGAAGGTTGTCCGCGCCGTTAACAAATCTGCAAGCCAGGGCCCAGGGGCCCAGGCGACGACGCAGATGTCCCAAATCCAGGAATTCGTGCATGGGGGGGGGGTTATGAGCCGCGGCCTCCTCAATCCCACCCTCCCACCCGCAACTCATTGTGTAACAAATGACTGCTTGGCACAGGTTAACGCATCTCTGCAGCCGCGCTGGCGCGAGCATCCTCGCGTTCAGAACGGCCAGCTGGTTCGGCACAACTGATGCAGCCGCGATGGCCATTACCGATGGGAGCTTCTCGGCGCATCTCACAGGCCGTGCTGGCGCGCGGACAGTTCAGTGCGGGTCGATGGCCTGGTCGGGAACGGTGTCATGATGACCCCGACAACGGCGACAACGATAACGAAAGTAGCGAAGTTGATGGCGATGGTGACGATGACGACAACAAGGCCAATGACGGCCCCGATGCTGGTTACCACGATGACGAAGATGATGCCCATGTGAAGGCAATGAAGATGATTGGCTGATGATGGCGGCAATGGCGGCAATTTACGATAACGATAACGGCAGTGAGGCGGTGGCGCTAATCAGATAAAGGTGAGGGAATGCGCGCGCGGAAATCCAAGAAACATGGCAGACTTTCCGCTGACAAGCAATACCAATGTGTTGTTGAGCAGCACTATCATGAAATGTTTCGAACCCCAATGGAGGGCGCATACTAGATAAACGCGGATGCGGCGCGTGGTAAAATTGAAAATGCGGGTTCTGGGCGAAACTAATAAAACCACATGGTGTTCTCACGACTTCGGCCATTGTGCGCGGGCGGAACCTCTGCAACATCTGTGAAGGAAAACCCTGAGAGCGCTTGATGCTCCAATCTGGAAATACGTGCAAAGCTAAAGTTTGGTCCGCTTTCGACATGTGCGCGGGCGCATGAATTTTGAGTTGTTGAGCGCACGTCGTTTGCTTGCGTGCATACTATTATTTGACAGGGATGAGGGGGTACGATACCCGCCTGGCTGGGATGGTATGAGCTCATATGGGAAATGGGCGATGCAACGTAATCGCCTGCAACTGCAATACGACAAATAGAACACTTAACCCGTAGGGGGGGAGGGTGGCACAGTCTATCGATTTGGAAAGAATTAGTATGAGGCGTTCCCCAGAAACCCTGAACCGAAAACATGTTGTCATCTCTTGAGAGGCCGAATTACGTACGTTTCCGCCAGCCTTCCGCAGGTCTCGGCCAGCGGAGGCGGCCTCCTTGTACTGCCGCCGCCTTCCGCCACCGTCCGCCGAGGAAGAGAGGACAACTCCTGCGATCCTCGAAGGCGGGGCCCTCTCTGGAGCGCCCGATGCGTGCATGTGGCGCACGGTAGCTATATCGTGCCAGCCAGCACACGACGCGGCCACCGGCGGGGACTGGGCGACGAAAGCCCAGAAAAGCAGCACACAAGGCGGGCACTGGGATATTGAAAAACAGCAATCACACGAGGCGGTAACGAGGCGGGCACTGAGCGAACATGTAAAACAACAGCCAGCACACGAGGGCGGTCAAGGGCGGGCAGCACGCGAAAATCCGAAAAGCCCCGTCCTCATGGCTACGTACAGCACAGAGAAGAGCCCTTCAGTGCAAGCACTGCTCGGGGAGCCTTCGAGGGCGCGGGGGACAATCTCGAATCGCTCCACAGGACTTCGGATGTCTCCAGAGGGCCGAAACAGAGGGAACAAAGAGAGAGAGAGAGAGAGAGCGAGAGAGAGAGAGAGAGAGCAGAGATATAGACAGGCAAAACTAAAAGCCTAACCAAGCAAATACGAACATACATGTGTAGATTTCGGGGGGGGGGGGGGGAAACATGTGCGTGCGACCGGCACAAGAAAAAACATCGGTCATCGATGCTCCTCGTCTTCCTCGTCGCGGGCCCAGGCCTGATGCGGTCGATGCCGTACTTGCGGGGGGCGGAGGCAACCACCTCGGCGCGCGGAGCGCTGGGCGACGGGCCGGGCGGTTCGGCATTGCTGCTCCACCGAAAACTATGTGAAACCAACCTCCTGC